TGGGGATCATGGGCATGTTTGTGAGTGGGGCTCCTGGGTGAGACCTAGCCCCCACCCCCACGGAGCTCAAGGGGGTGGGGGGCTGAGGATAGGATGGCTCGGGGCGGGGCGGGGGCAGAGGAGGCCTCCCTGCACTCCAATGCATTGTCCTGGCTGGCCTGTGGGCTCCTGGCGCTGCTGGCCAATGCCTGGATCATCCTCAGCATCTCGGCCAAGCAGCAGAAGCACAAGCCACTGGAGCTGCTGCTGTGCTTCCTAGCGGGCACACACATACTCATGGCAGCTGTGCCCCTCACCACCTTTGCTGTGGTACAGTTGCGGCGTCAGGCTTCCTCCGACTATGACTGGAACGAGAGTATCTGCAAGGTCTTCGTGTCCACCTACTACACCCTGGCCCTGGCCACCTGCTTCACGGTCGCCTCGCTCTCCTACCATCGCATGTGGATGGTGCGCTGGCCAGTCAACTACCGCCTCAGCAACGCCAAGAAGCAGGCGCTGCATGCCGTCATGGGCATCTGGATGGTCAGCTTCATCCTCTCCACACTGCCCTCCATTGGCTGGCACAACAACGGCGAGCGCTACTATGCCCGCGGCTGCCAGTTCATAGTCTCCAAGATCGGCCTCGGCTTTGGCGTTTGCTTCAGCCTCTTGCTACTTGGGGGCATTGTGATGGGGCTGGTCTGTGTGGCCATCACCTTCTACCAGACACTGTGGGCCCGGCCCAGGAGGGCTCGGCAGGCCCGGAGAGTGGGGGGCGGTGGGGGGACCAAAGCGGGTGGGCCAGGGGGCTTGGGTACCCGGCCAGCTTTTGAGGTGCCAGCCATTGTGGTGGAGGATGCCCGAGGGAAGCGGCGGTCCTCGCTGGATGGCTCGGAGTCTGCCAAGACATCCCTGCAGGTCACCAACTTGGTCAGCGCCATCGTCTTTCTCTATGACTCACTCACAGGGGTGCCCATCTTGGTGAGATCGGGGTCCTCCCCACCTGTTCTCCCCAATATCCAGGCCCCAGCATCATCACCTGACCTCCAACTTCATCAGCCATACAGCAGCTCCGTCATCTCTCCTCTAGTTCCATCATCCATCTTCCTCTCCTCTGTCCATCCCCCACTCCATTTGTGGCCCCCATCTTGATCATCTGACTTTTAGTTCCCACTACCCTGTCTACCCCAGCTCCAGCATCTGCTTCAGTTCCCACTCCTCCGCTCCATCACCGTCCTTCAGTTCCACTACCTGTCCTCCAGCTCCGTCATCCATCCTGCAGCTCCACAGTTCAGCCGCAGACCTCTCATCCAGCTGCTGGGCTCCACTCTCCATTCCCTCCTTCCCTCTGGATGCCACATGGTCTCTAAGCAGTCTTGGGTGGAAACCCCACAGGGCTCACCCCACCACCCCATCTAGTCACTGTTCCTGGGTTCCTCTCTGTCTCTACGCTTCCTGGTCCACCTCTGTTCCTCTCCCTCCTGACCGCAGGGCTTTGCCTCCAGCACTCTCCCCTACCTTCCTCTGAGTCAGTTCCTTCCCTCTGTTCACTCCATCTCCACCTCTGGCTTCACCTCTGTTGGATCACAGGGATCAGGCATTACTTCTGACGTCTTGCCCACCAGCTGCACTAGGATATGGGGTTCAGGTGGGCTCCTCAGCTCTGGCCCTGACCCAGCCCACTCCCACCCTTCCCCAGGTGGTGAGCTTTTTCTCTCTCAAGTCGGACTCGGCGCCCCCCTGGATGGTGCTGGCTGTGCTGTGGTGCTCCATGGCACAGACGCTGCTGCTGCCCTCCTTCATCTGGTCCTGCGAGCGCTACCGCGCCGACGTGCGCACAGTGTGGGAGCAATGCGTGGCCATCATGTCTGAGGAGGATGGAGATGACGGTCAGAAGAGGGGCTGGGCTTTGGCTTTCCTGGACATCTATCTATTCCCTTTCCTGCCCGTTCCTTCTCAGTCAGAGGATGGGCTGCCCTGGAGTGCCCCCTACTGGACAGAACCTGCACCACCCTGGGCTCCCCTTTCCCTAAGCAGGCACCCTGCTGTCCACTTACTGCTTCCTGCAGCACTCAGGGCTCCCTTCACCGGGCCTAGGCTCCCCTCCAGAAGTCCACACTACCCAGCTCTGGCACTATGGGGAACCCGAGCTTCCTGAGAGAGGCCCCCAGCCATAGGGATGGCTCTTGGGGGAGGGCATGTAATTGTTTCAATAACTTCATCTATATGTATGAAGCACTCCACTCAGGATTTAGCACTGAACACAGCAAATGCTAGCTACTCTCACTGTCCTCTCGGCACATACAGGCTAATGGGAACTAAAGGGGTCTCTGGGAGCTTATCAAGGCAGTGGGCGGGGGTGGTAGGCATTCCCTGCCTGTAACTGCTCTGCCCATTTTCTCTCCTAGATGGGGGCTGTGATGACTATGCAGAGGGCCGAGTTTGCAAAGTTCGCTTTGATGCCAATGGAGCTACAGGACCAGGGAGCCGGGACCCCGCCCAGGTGAAGCTGCTGCCTGGAAGGCACATGCTCTTCCCTCCTCTTGAGAGAGTCCACTACTTACAGGTATGGAACTGGGGGATACACCTCCTACCCTTGGTGCCCCTCATCACTTTTCTCCAGTGTCTGTTATGCACCCCAATCCCCTCTTCCCTAGCCCTGGCTTTCAGGGCACCATAAAGCTGGGTGAAAGAAAACTATAGTAAGAGAGGCATCCCTTCAGATCTCGTGGGGCCAGGTTTGCCCACCGGAGCAAACGTTTTGAAGAAGGTTAAGAAGGTGGCACCATCTTCTGGAGTCCCCACTTGGTTCCTCTGCCTCTGTCCCTGCAGCACCTTCAGGTCTTACCTGCTCCTCTTCCCAGGTCCCCCTATCCCGGCGTCTGTCCCATGATGAGACAAACATCTTCTCTACCCCTCGGGAACCAGGCTCCTTCCTGCACAAGTGGTCATCCTCTGATGACATCCGGGTCCTCCCAGCCCAAAGCCGGGCCCTCGGGGGTCCTCCTGAGTACCTGGGACGAAGACACAGGTTGGAGGATGAGGCGGACGAGGAGGAGGCTGAAGGTGGTGGGGGGCTGGCCAGCCTTCGCCAATTCTTGGAGAGTGGGGTTCTGGGGTCAGGTGGGGGACCCCCACGGGGCCCTGGCTTCTTCCGGGAGGAGATCACCACCTTCATCGATGAGACACCTCTGCCTTCTCCGACTGCCTCACCAGGGCACTCTCCCCGTCGGCCCCGGCCACTGGGCCTCTCACCCCGCCGACTCTCCCTTGGGTCCCCTGAGAGCAGAGCCGTTGGACTTCCTTTGGGACTAAGTGCAGGGAGACGCTGCTCCCTGACGGGGGCCGAAGAAAGTGCAAGGGCTTGGGGAGGATCCTGGGGCCCAGGCAACCCTACCTTTCCCCAGCTGACCCTTTGAGCCCAAGCAGGCCTGCTGAACTCAGAGGAGGAAGCCTGAGTGAGTAACACCTCATTCTGGCCCTGAGAGTAGGGCAGCTGCCTCCAGACTCTGGGGGGATGGGCGCTAGATTTGGGGCTCAGAAGGCCCTGCTCTCTCCCATCCAAGTGACCAGATGCCCTACTCACCTTCCATCACCCCTAGCAATATGTATTAAAGTCTGAAATGTTGCCATGGAAACCTCAGCGTCCAGTGTACTGCGATGGAAAGGGGCTTGGAGGGTGGAGAGGCTCACAGAGGACACGACAGAGCAGGGGCAGCACACAGAGGCACAGAAGGACACATGGAGAAATGATCACACGCTCCACCAGGCAGCCTCGCACAGGGAAGGCTGGGAGGAGCATATCCTGCTGGGGCAGGGCTTGAGGACACACATGTCTTTGTTGGTTTGGGGTGTGAAGGATCTCTGTTCAGATTTGTTGAGGTGATTTTAGAGCGTGGCTCCAGTCCCAGTGCCCGACTCTCCTTCTAACCCCAAATCCATCCAGGGGCTCACTTTATGGGCAGAAAAGGGTTTGGGGCTGACGTAGTGTCCCGGGCCTGGACACCTCCTCCCTGCTGCATTTTAAAGCTCTTTCTCCAAAGGAGTGTAGGGGTGGATGTGTGTGTGGGGGGAGGGGGGAGGGGGAGGAGCGGGGGTCCGCGTCCACAGTCCTTTTTCTGGACCCAGAAGCGTGTGTGTGGAGGGAACACTGCCCCAGTGGTTACCTCCAGACCTCAGGGGCTGAAGTCACCGCTGGTCCTCCATGGATGCCCAGGCCTGCTCCAGTTCCCGCCTTTTGCCCCCCTCCTCCCAGTTTCTCCCTCTCGTTCCACACTAGATCAGCTTTCTCCACTCGGCATTCTTCTTTCTCCATCTTTCACATGGGCCTCTCCCACCATCGGGTCTCAGCCCCATCTCTCTCTCTCGGCCTCCCTCATTCCTTCTCCCTCTCCCTCCGCCTCTCCACCTCTCCTTCCTTCCCCTCCCTCCCCCTTCCCCCTTTCCTCTCCCTCCCTCTCGGCTCCCGCATTTCCCTTCGGCGGCCGGCGGCTCCGACATCATGCTCCGGCTCCTCCGGCCGCTGCTGTTACTGCTGCTGCTGCCTCCCCCGGGGTCCCCTGAGC